CACGAGCCGTCCGCACACCTAATCGTGTCGCAATTAAGAGCAGCGAAATTCGATTATGTACTTGCCCGTTCTCGGCAACGCGCTGTAATTAGCGGCGAAACCGGTAGAAAACGAATCGTGCGGTTAAAACGTCTACCAAAAGTGATAACAAGCCAATTATGTCTGCGTTTTGCTCTCTCCGCGATTCTGTGTGCCACCAGCAACAAGATAGTCCATTTAAAAATCGTACTTTTAACTCTTGGCGAAAGCAGTGCATGCAAGAACAGTAATACTCTCTAGATAAACTTTCGTTTTAAATATCCATATCTCCGCTACGTTAACGAAGTGTGAAATTTATTTCACATATTTAAAAAATTTAAGCCAGCGATATTTACTTTTAAAAAATTGAAATTTTTTACCGCTTTTGGAAATGATCTTATCTTCACTTTGTTTCTTTGACTAAGAACAGTGGTACTTTAATAAGTTTTCTACTGACGCCACTGTACGTTCTTAATGGTGCAAGAAAGGTCATCGGCTCATCCTCAGATAAATTATCTTTATCTCTTCAGTTAACAATACTCTGCGACCCTGAAATTATTACACCCATAAAACGCGATAAACCGAGTAAATGTAACACATACACCGTCGATCGTAAAATTATTTCAACACCCATACAATTTTGAATTCTGAGCTCTGTATTTTGAGCAAATATACAAGAAGCAATTAACCTCTTCAGGGATGATTTTTTTTTAAAGTTGGAGAGTATTGATCTAATTTTTTATGTAGTTACATTTATATTCGTGCTAAATCGATAGCAATTGAACTACTTTCTTTAGGAGATTTTGGGAGATTGTTTTTCATATTTTCTCTATGGCAAATATTGGAATTTTCGGGAAATCTAAAGGTACACATATGTGTCGGTATCCCTGAAGAGGTTAAAATGTATTATACTACATTGCAGTACAGTACATACTCAGATGCTAAAAATTACAAAATTCTTTATTCTTCTCTTTATTATGAAATCTCGAAAATATGTAAATTTTCATGTGACAAAAATATTTGGACACCTGTTACGTACCAGAAATTTCTCGTATCAATCATAGTTCCCAAAATTTTCTAATTTCGACAATGCCAGGTATTTTCAAATTAAAGCATGCTTCGACTTCATTTAAAAATTCGATATCTTCCGATTCGATGCACTCGCGTTTACGCAAAAAATACTCTGTTTGCCGTATAAATCGCTCTATGAACTTTCCGGAAAGCAATAACGAGGTTTTGCATGCGCTGTGTTTAGAACGTACACCGTGTTGCGTTTGCAACTCGATCGAATTCCGTTTGTACACGTAGCACTCGACCCGAAAGAATGTTAAGTGGGAAAAACGGGAAGGAGAGGATGCGCGTTAAAATAATAAGCAAGTTTGGTAATTGTTCGGGACAGCGGTGAAATCAACAGTCCTCCTTTTTCTATCGAAAAAGTTCCGTATACTGCATTAAAGTTCATTCCGGAAGTTTGCTCTGCAACTCGCCAAAAGTGGCGAACAGTTTGAAACTGTATCCCCCGAACGGACTGGGAAGCACTTACGAACCGTTTTACCGGCAATCTTTCCCTGACGTTTCGAGATTAAAAATCGCGCTGGAAAATAGATGACCGATTCGTCGGTTTGTTCGGTCTGGCTCGATGCGATTCCAGTTGCTTTCTGATTTACACCTAGTTCACAGCGATGTAATTCACTGTTTTTCATACAAGCTTAATCGTTCTGTGATGCCCGGATTGCTCCAATTCCTCGAAACTCGGAGCAGATATTGGGGTAACGCTGAATTAAAACACTTACAGATCGTCGTTGCGTAGAAACAGAACTTTATTTCACGGAGATTTTGACGGTACGTGACGTGCGCGTGGTAAAACAGAATGAACGCGGAAATGGGGAAAATAGGGCTATTTAAGGATTTAGGGAAGATAAACTTTGGGTTGTGACTATGCAGGAGAGTTGGAAGATGAAGAATCCAGTATAAGTAATGGTGTGAAAGTGACTAGTTGTGAATACAGATAAAATTAAGACTAAGAAGGAAAATATTCGAGGGTGTAACAGTTCGATTAAAATAGAAAACCGTCGACTGAAAAAGTTCGTTTATTTAAACGTAGGATTTATTACGAAATTTTGAAAAAGTAACTTACCCGTTTAGCGAAGAGAAACTTCGAAAGGATAAAGTGCCGCAATTTATTCTCGTCAGTTAGAACATTATAATTCTTAAGTGTTCTTAATTAATATCATTCACTAGCCACTTACTTCTCTTTCGCAGTATTTATCACGGAAACCTATTGTCTTACTTCGAAATTATTTAATATATCGTTGGAACCTGTATTATTCTGAAACTTTCTCAACGTTGAACGAGCTGAATTGATTCGATTCAAGTTTAGGGTATGTGAGAAAATCCGTCCCGAAGACGGTGAAGCGAGCATCTTGAAGCCAGACCCAGCACGCTCGGTGGGTGTGACTCGCCCCTTTGGGGTTTTCCCTGGGCCTGTTCGCGTAGGGGTGGACAGGGATCGGCAGGACGACGCGTTCTCACTCTTCGCGAGACCCTCGAAGCACACTTTTCGCGAACGACGCTCAGATAACACGGATATAATTCTTGTGTAACATATACTATTGTGTAGTATCGGGGCCTCCATACCTAAGTAGGAAACCTCGAAGGGAGAATAGAGGGGGAGTGGTTGGCGTAGCGCGCAAAGCCTTGGCTTGCTAAGCCGAAGGTCCCGGGTTCGATTCTCGTTGAGTCCTTCAATATTTTCCCTAGGTACCTACAAATGAGGGTTCATCCGGAATGGAGAGGCATCTACGGCTACACGAAGCCAGGAGATGTGCGATGAAAACATGTCGAGGGTTGCACGTCTCCCAAAAATGCGTTGTTTCGGCTGTGTGCCACTGCGTGGGGGAGTGTGCCCGAAAGTGTTGAGTTGTGTTGCACTGAGGACATTCGAGGGCGAATGTCAGTTCAGGATGGCCGAGTGTAGTATCGGGGCCTCCATACCCAAATAGGAAACCTCGAAGGGAGAATAGAGAGGGAGTGGTTGGCGTAGCGCGTAAAGCAGGTCCCGGATTCGATTCCCGTTGGGTCCCTCAATATTTTTCCCTAGGTTTCTACAATTGTAAAAACGTAGACACGTTCAATTAATTTCACCCCCACCCTACTTCGAGTCAGAGTACTTTCTGGCAGGTAGTAAATCGATTTCACAATATCTCCTTCGTTCGAAGCAGCTCAGAAATTTCGCCATGCAAAGTTTGCACAGGTGCAACTGCAATCCCCATCGATAAGGAGTGATAAATCAAGAAGATGATCACACTCGAAGCAACACTGGCCAATAAATAAAAATTCTCGTGCCGTAGACTGTGAAACGTTGAAGAAAGGTGACTTCGATTCTACGAAACTGTAACAGCCTCGGAAGCGGCCATCAACGTCCTAAAGACCTCCATAAATTTTCAAAACGAGCTTTCCCTCTTTTATGACGCTGCCAGGCTGCTAGTCGCGACGTCTGAGCATGCGATGCGACCGATCACAATGCAACTGGCTGTATCAACAAACTTACGTCGACGTTCGTGACGATTCGCCGTCGCTATCGCTGCAATTTATCGTTTGCATCGGCGTTAGATTAAGAAATTCATCGACGAACCGGTTGTTCGATAAACGGGCCACAGTCGAACCGAGCGCGGTTGTGAAACAATAGACGACACGAACGGTTTGTTGCGCGAGTATATCTCTGCTGGCAAAAGGGCTCTTTGTCCGTCTGCACAGCGCCGAGACTAGTTGAACAGATTCGCCTGGGAAGTTCACGCCGCAACTCTGCCGCGCCACATAGATAAAAACATGGACATTTATCACCTGAACTAGGAGCAACCGCCACTGCTTGAGTGACGCTTTAATCGAATACGCGCACCAGGCTGCTTGAAAAAGCACATTAACAGACTGCACGCTGTTTGCACACTCGCGGCTGTACAACTGCGAACCTACTCTGCATAAACTAGTATTGTAACCTTAAATAGATTACAGGAGGAACGTGAAATATTCGATCTGACTGGAATTATAGTCGGCCGACAATTTTTCAGATATGGTCTGAAAATGGAACGACTCATGAAATTGTTAATAGTTAAGGATATCAGTTTTAAGGGTTGGAAACTAGACTCTGGGATTCATTTGACTCTACAGACCTGGATCAAAGATCTATTAGGCTTAAAGCTCGACTTAGTTCAGATGTGGACTTGATTCACAAGGGAAACAGGTGACTCTGTAGACCTGGCCCAAAAATCCATTAGGCTTGAAGCTCGACTTGGTTCAGAGGTATATTAATTCACAAGGGAAACTATAATTATCAATTTTTAATGAAACTTTGCAGGTCGATAGAGAATCGAAGGATGTATAATCGCGATAAATTTTAAGTACAGACGCTCAGTAGTTTGCGAGAAGTTTAAGAATAAAGTGATAAATCGTGTAAGTGATAAAATCGAGCAAATCTCTCGCACAGTGATTATCGCTGTAATCTGGTAAACGAAGAGTCCGTGTTTCGAATCTCACCTTGAATAAAAAATTTTTCAAATTTTTGATAAAATCCATGAAATCTCGGGACCTCTGTAATCTATTAAAGAATGCGGTCTTTGGTGTGGTAATTATAACTATAATCTGGTAAACGAAGAGTCCGTGTTTCGAATCTCACCTCGAACTAAAATTTTTTCAAATTTTTCAAAAAAACTCATGAAATCTCGGAACCTCTGTAATCTCGTAAACGAAGGGCTCTTGTTTCGAATCCTACCTCGAATTAAAATCTTTTCCTGGTCAATTTGACCTTAAGATCGACAAGGCCCAGAAAATTTCTAAACCACGGTGACCTTTGACCCAAGTTCGCCCATAAGCTACGATTCTACCTTCGTTTGCTAAAATCAGCTGAAAAAACAGCAACGAATAAACGAACCAGCCCTTTCAACGAGATTTAATCTTCGTTATCTTCGTTTCCAGGGGCGCACTGCTACACGATGCTGCACGGAAGCAGCGGAAAGAATAGCAACGCTCATCAGAACAGCTTGGAGAACAACAGTACACAGCCCGGCCCGTACTTCGACATATCGCATTCGAAGAACGTGACCAGCATCCTGGGCAAAACTACGTACTTGAATTGCCGCGTGAAGAACTTGGGGAACAAGACGGTAAGTGAATATTGAAAGAAATGATCGACGATCCACATCCGAAATTCGCGATCTCGAGGGATGAAATTTAGAAATTAAAGTTATTTACGATTCGCCTCAATACTTTCTCGTCTATTTAAGTTTGCTAACTTTTAAGCAACTTCCAGAAAAAATCGCTCGTTTGAAAAGTTTAAGTTAGAAAATGATCAGGAAGCAATAAATTTCACTGACGGAATTAATCGTGCGCGACACGTCTGCGCTGAGAAATCCATTTAGTCTCGCTCTGCTAGTTCAGGGTTAAGCAACTTTTTACAATGCACAAGGAACCTAAACTCCATAAGCTTTTTCCTTTCGAAATTGTTTAGTTTATACGAGACTCTCTTTTTCACATAAATCGTATTAGCATTTTCTTCTCGTATTTCTCTCGTGGAATATCGTTCGAATTAATCGAACTCCAATTTCACGCAACATTTGACACATTAGACACCGAAGGTTTCATCGACTGCGTAATTATCTTTCACAAATCACTTGACACATTTAAACAATGCAGTTATCCAATCCTCGTTTGAGATATCTCGCGTACGAGTCGCCTCTCGTGACGAGTGCCACTAGTCAGACATCAAATATTTATAAACGAGTATTTAGATGTCGATTAAATCGACGGGGTCGCGAGTCAGTCTACCGCTTTCAGTTTAATCTAGGTCAACGCCGGAGAAGATTAAGAGCCTTTGATTCGCGATCCAGAGGGAAACAGGCCACGCCCGGTATTAATTATTCACGGTTAACCCTTTATGTTCGACACTTACCGTATTATCTCCCGGACAACTGGCCGGATGATCGAAGAAAGAAAGGCCGTTCTTCCGACGGCGTTCTCTATTCACTCGTTCAACGACGGGGGGAAAAAAATTCAGTCAAGGATAACGCGATCGATTCGAACGTTTGAATAAAAAGTAGAACGAATTCCAATTGCAGCTCCGATGTAATTGATACGGTTAACGGTGTGTTAAGTATAGTCGATTGCTTGTACAAAGTGATCGATACCAGGAATTGTGAATTTCTCAGAAAAAGTTCCTTTGCAGGTTCGTTTTTTTTTTTTAGTATGGATGAATATATTTGCACGAGTGATACCGATTACAATAAACGAATTAAAGCTAATGTAACTATTTTATTGTAAATGAAATTCAACGACGACTCTTTTACGAGACACGCCACGCAGAGACGACGAGAGCTTTAGCACCGACAACCTTTTTGCCTTTGTTACTCTTGCTATTTATTTTGAATCCATTCCTTCCATACCTTCACAGTGGCGCGTTATAGCTTCATGAGACCCCGGGAAAATTTGAATTTGAGGGCCCCGTGTACAGTGAATGAGGTTATGAAGGATTGGTTTGGGCCCCTCGTCGTTGGTGGAGGGCAATTGCCCCTTTTCCCCATAGGATAACGCGCCACTGTACCTCTGTTCTCCCATTACATACATCCGTCACATTTGCGCATCACCTACAGCGCACACCCCTACTTTCGGGTTTTCCCGGGTTTAGTCGGCGGGCCTCGTGCGTCACCAAGGCCCCTCGCGAAGGGCCTACTTCGCAGCTCGGCTCTGCGGTTCATTGCCCCTCGCGGCAACTCAGGTGTAGCCGAGAAATTTTGAGGGATAGTTCATCTTCAGTCTCTTATAGAACAGGGGTGGCCAGCTACACTACCTTTGGAAGCTACATTTCAGGAAGGAATATTTCTATATCTTTGATAGTTATTATCGATAATAATTACTTTTAAAACAAGTTTTCTTGAGAAAATTGAAACATCGACAGCTTGAAAATAACGGGCTTCGATCGAAGGAGAGCAGAATGTGTGGAAATTGGAATAATTGCCCGGCGTATTTCACGTCTAAGGGGATATTAGTTGAAATTAATATCGACGAATGCTGGAGACGACGAAGGAGAGATCTGGTAAAAAGGAAGGACCTCCATCACGAAGATGGGCTTACGTGTAAACGTTTTTCCTTCCGTGCTGAGTGCAGGAAAATATCGAGCGTCAATATTTTACCGACACAATGGATCGTCACCTGTCTGTAGCAAACTGCAGGGGATGCATCGGAAGTGCACTTGGCCGTCGTCTCGGCCTCTTCACCCTGCCGTTGAACAAAGTGCAGTTTCTCCGGTGTGTGTATAATGTTTATTCGTCATGGGTTTCTGACAATTATTAGGGACGATTTAGATTAGAGTGGCCATTCTGAGAATAAGTCTCGAGATGTTAGTCCTTTTTGTGAGGTAGTTGCAGGTTGATAAATCATTGTGAGAGGCCTGCAATTAGGTTTTGCAATTCTAATGACGAAGGAAGTAGAAGAATGAATTTGAAGGAAAGCGTTGGAAGCATTATTCCGAGGGAAAAAAATTTGTCGACGTTCTTTAATATTTTTTTGAATAAATAATGATAAATCGATGCGATGAAAGTAAAATAAGTTTTGAAGGAAGTGTAAAAAAAAAAAATTAGTCGAGTGTCTGTAATATTTTTTAAACGGTTTTTCACGGTACAAATGTCGCGTAAGTATAAATTTCCCGAAACAGGCTCGTTTTTCTTAATCTGTGCGTAAGTTATTTTCTGGGACGAATTCATGCATGAAAAATTAGACGCGTACGTGTGTATATGGAGAAACAGAGGGAGAAATCCACGATCGTAATTCGTGTAACCGTGTTTTATGAGATTTTTTTGTTGCCACCTTGGGAAAGATTAGATCGTTAGAATTATTCACGGTCTGTTCTACGACTCACTACGTGTAAGACAGCTGGCACGAGCAACACGTTCAATTTTTTACGTCTCTGCAAATAGTAAATCCTGTTAGTTCGTTAAATTTCCGATTTTAAAGGATTGATAAAGAATTGAAGAAAAATCAGTTAATTTTATTCTACACAAAATTTCACTTTAGTGTTTAATTTGTGTTACTTTGTATACAGAAAGATTCACGAAGCTCTATCATTGAAGTAACTTGTGCAATATCTTGCGAAAACTTGGATATTTTACGCTCCAAATTCAGATACCGAAGATCCAAGTAACAATGACACTTTACTGCAAATCACGACAATGGTTTTCGCGAATCTGTGTTCGATCCTTTCAAGTTGTTTACTTGCCAGGACAACGTAGGTCCTAGATTCAGTTTTAAGAATCTCCAGAAGGTCCTGAGAATTTTTCTCGAGAGAAAAATCGACTCGTCTTTGGCGACAGTGTGTTTTGATCACCTATTGCTTACTGGAATATGCATTATACATTTATTCATTTACATTAACGTGAGAATTATTTCATGAACTTTTTTTAATTTTTAATTTTAATACTTTTCAAAAATACGAGCATCATCTTAACAATATGTAACAAAAGGACTCTATTAGTAAACATTTGGTGTGAATCGCAGTCAAGTGATTTATTCCTTTTTTATTTATACTAATTGACATTATTATCTTCACCGCTCATTATTAATATTATATCACCACATGAAATGAAAACACTGGTCAAAATTGCATTTAAAACATTTGGAAAATATTTCGTATTTCCCAAATACTTAGAAGTGTCCAAATATTTAACACTTTTACCGTCTTTCAATATTTTTACGTAGCACTCAAAAATACTTTGCAAAACCAATGCATTTTCGAAGACATTTACTAAAATTAACATATTGTTCTTAAAACTATTCCTGTTCACTGGAAACATTTCCTACAACGAAAATTCATTTTACAAAACTAAGGTGTCATTACGCAGGATAAAATTGTATCGAAAATAAAAAGCCGATATATCGGCTTAAGGCGGTATTTCCCAGGAAAAATGCAGAGCGGATATATCGGCTCTGAGGTACTAAAAGGATTAATCCACTTAAAATGAAGTTTCCCAACCAAGTATTTAAAAAGCGAGATGAGAGAACGAATCGAGAAGTGTCTTAACCGAAGCCAGTCCCGGTTAATCCGTGGATTGAAAGCACGACCGTCCCACGAAGATTCGGTGTTTGCCCGCGAAGAAGAAAAAAAAAAAGAAAAAAAACTGGTATAACCATGTCCGGCTCATTCATATGTATGACATAACCCAGTTTCGATTGCGTCCTGCTCGAGAGGAGCGCGTTGCCTCTAAATTCGTGTCGGTGATACGGTCAGTTTCTGACCGCGGCAGGTTGCTCGCGAAATTTTAATGATCCCTCGTACGATCGGTCGACACGGTGCTCGGCAAGCTTGCGGGAAATTGACTCGAGTAATTACACGCGGGCTGCGCCTACTCTTGCTGCTCGACACGCGCCACTAACGGTTCGACCGTTCTCTTCCTAGCCTCTCTTTTCCTTCCCGTGACAATTCACCGAGCGAATAACGCCATCGTGAATGTAACGCAGCGATCGAACTTTGGAGAAATGGCGAATTACGCTGTTGTGAAGAAACAACAGTGTTGCGTCGCAAATGCTACCCATCGAGAGTTTGACTCCACGACACGGACGACCGGCTTCCAATTTAAATTCTTTTGTGTTTACTTTCCTTTCCGAAGCTGTAAGGGGTGTTTTGGCGATAAAGATATTTGTCAGGATTAAGATAAACAAAGGTTAGAAGCTATATTTATTTGGCCGTATGCCAACTCGTTCCTTTCTTGTGTCCGTCCTTACAAATACTCTTTCCTAGTAAATCCTAGTCTTATTCTAACGCGTCCTTATATACCTCTCTTGCCTCCGGGAAACCCTGGCAAAGTGTTGGCGGTTTCCACGGAGCAAGGTTCGCGAGCATGTGATTGGGTCCTTACCTGGCCGAACCAGGTTTTCACATTTAAGAAATAATTCGACTCACGCAATGTTAAGTTGGCATATGAGAGACGCGAAACACTGTCACCCCTAAAAGAAATAAGAATCGAGTCACAACGAAGAGGAGTTTCAGCGTTGATTCGAATTAGGCGAACCTCTAAGTTTCGTGAATTTTCAGCTGGAGGGTTCGAGGGGTTCGAACGTATTGAGTTTCTTCGAGAAGGAAGGTTGTTTCTCGTATAAAATTTCCACGGTCCTGGAA